TCCGTCCCTCTGACCGTCACAAAGTATATATATATGTATTCTTCATCAGCATCGAAACCTAAATCGATTTAAGCAAGACAGTCTGTGTAATGTTTCTTGTAAACGTTCTCCTGGCCGCAAAAATGAACCTATCAAAGCTATTCAAATTTTGGCAGCAACAGTAGAAGTCCTTGCACGCATTTGGCCAAATCGGTCAAAGGACACGCAAATATACATATAACAAATAAATGAGCAAAAATTCGAACGCATATTTTATGCGCGATACGCGTAACATTTACGCATAAATATGAAAAAAATTGACCACGCCTACCCAATATTATGCTGTGTCAATCTTTATTTGTTTTTTCAATATCTTTATAATGCGCAAAAACAAGCTTGATAAAGTGTAGAAATTCTTGGCCAGTTCCATATTTTGGAATGCAAACAAACATGTCCGCCTGCTCGTCTGTCCGTCCATTTGTCTATTTACGCAACTTTGTAGCAAAAGAATTTGGAAAGAACGTGACTTAAACTTTTCAAGGAACACGCCCACAACCCGCACATGCCTCTTGGACAAAAATTGTTTATTTTGCAAATTGAAGAAAACAACTGCACCCACTCCATATTATAGCGCAATGAGAATTTCGTTCTTTTATTTTTTTTTTTGTTTTTTTGTCTTTTTTTGAGGTAAATAGTGATGGGTATAAAAAATTCGTTCCTGATCGAATTTAATTTTTTTAATTGTCATTTTTTTTTTTTTTTTTTTTTTTTTGCGACTTCTGTTTAATAATAACGCTAATCACCTATATATGTTTAATCTTATTTAACTGCGTTAAATAAATAACAATAAAAGCCATAAACAAGGTACCAAGAAAAATATTTTACACATTTTAATTATCAAATAATTACTTAAAGAACATATAATAAAAAAAAAAAAAAATGTTATTTAACTTTTTAAACGAATTTTAAAATACCTAACATATAAAAATTAGTCTTATCTCGATTATATACTGATTTGAATAAAATAATGTCAGGTAATAATCGGCGAGCAAAATTTGAATGGCTTCAAGTTTTTTTTCAATACAAGTAGCATGTATGTAGATACACAACTGTCTTCAAAATGATTATGATAAATTTGATCATGTGTACACACATTCAGATTTAATTTTCATTGTCGCAAACAGTCTAATATAATGCTTATAACTGAGTAAATTAAAGGTAAATAAAATTTTATGTGATCACAGCAATTTATATAATCGAGACAGTGGCGAGTGATAACAGAGCAGGTAAAGTAATTAAATGATTATAAATTAATAAAATGCCTAATGATTTCATACAGATTTAGTTAAGTGTTTCGTCAAGTGTGATTCACTGAGAATGCACGCATAAAAGGTTAGAGATAGTGAAAGGGCGACAATTTGTTAACCAATGAACAGTGAACTGTACGTATAAACGAAAAAATAAAAAAAATAAAAAAATAAAAAATAAAAAACCGTAACAATTATTAATTACACGTTTGTATGTTTATATAAATATGATTGCAAGTACATATATATGTGTATAATTTGAAGAGCTTTGTCTTTTGGAATTTACACATGCGGCTAACAGAAGTCTTTGCTTTGCTCTGTTTGGATATTCCATCGTATATTCAATAATTATTTATACATATATATATATATATCAAACATTTACATATATACATATATATATTAAAATATGATGCATATATATATATATATATATATGCACATATTTGAGAGCGTTCAGTTTTTTATATTATTATTATTATTACATTAATTTGTTGGTGATATATCGTTCGCGCGGGCATTGGTTTGTTTGTTTGTATCTTTCCGTTTTCTCTTATTTGCAAAGAAACTGGTATGCGCCAGTATGTCTGCCAGTATCCGCCATAAACCAGATAAATTCGCTTAAGTCTTGTTCCGTAACATTGTCGGTTAGTTTAACAGTTAATGTTAAAATTACCTATACTACTACTACTACTACTAATACTACTAATACTACTATTACGACTAATACTACCACGATGTTGTTGGTATTTTTGTTATGAAAAGACTTTGTGAGTTGTTAGCTCTTCATAAACAAACAAATCAAAGCAAACACCTGAAGTTATTTATTAATTTTTTTTTTTTTTTTTTTTTTGTAATTTTTTTCATTTCAACTCCTTCAATATTTGAAAGACAACATTTCTTGAGAATTTCTTTCCCAATGCATGGCTTATCTCAATAATTTGTTTAATTCTTGCTCGTCATTATCGTATTTATTATCCCAAATGTTTGCAATTGACGATCCATTTTAATCCGATCATTTTTTCTCTCTTAAAACACACTTCATAATGTCATAAAACATAATTGAAGAACATTGACTTGCATTAAGCACGGCGGCGTATTTCTATTGAATTTGAATTATTTTTTAATTTCCGTAACTATATACATAAGTATATAAAGACATATATTATATATATATATATATATATATATATATAGATTTATATATGTATATGCCGAGCTTTAATTTATAATAGATTAACTAGTTTGTTAATTAAAATTGCCTAATTAATTAAGGTATCGTAATTATTGAAAATGAAAACTTTTCATAAAAAAGACAAAGTTGGGTTAATATCTTCTTGTGTCCTCCAAATATAGAATCATTTTGTTTTTTGTCCTAATTATTAAAAAAAAAAAGAAGAAAAGTGAAAACACTCATTAATATTCGTCATCACACATGTGAAAGAACCAGTCTTCGAGTAGTTAAGGATACTTTTCAAGCTCGCCCCTAAACGATGGATGTACTTATATTCAATTTGTGAAAATGTTTGCAACACTTACGCATAACCTACGGAGATTATGTAAAATCTATGCGGGCTTGATTATATATAACCGTCCGTCAATCGGTCCAAGTGGATGTGTATGTATCCGGCCAATAGTAAGCACTCTTTCAACCACAAAAATAAAGGAAATTTTCATAAATTTGAAGGTTCTTGCATTCGGATCGGCATCGCGAAGTGGTCCAAGTCAATCAAAGTGCAACATAGTGCAACATAAACTGTGTACCAGAAAACTGTGTATCATAAAAACTTATAGGTACGTTTTATGGGTGATCTTAAACATTAGCTGAGCAGAAAAACAAGTAAGAACTTTATAGTCGAGCAAGATCGACAATTGGATGCCCTAGATCATTTGATATAGTACAACTGTTCATTAAATAATACGTCAAATTTTACATATTATTTTCATGCATACGCACATTTTTCGAGAAATCCCATCGCATATTGGAGGAGGCCGAAAATGTCATATGACATGATCCAAATTTAGGAAATTTAATTCACTTCATAAAAATTGTATTATTTCTCAGTTTCCGAGAGAAAATAGACTTACTTTCTTTTCATATATAGAAGGGCTTGTTTTTCTTGATAATCCCCATATTTGTTGGAGTATAAAAAAAATAGACGTATGTGGTCCAAATACGATAAGCTTGATTCCTTTGTCAATTTACTATTATGAAGCAACTTTCACCATAAAATATTGAAAATTACATCTTTTTCACATAGAATGAATGATCAGTTTTCGTGGGGGAAACGAAATAATCTGAGAGGTGGCCAACCGAAATTTGCCAAGAAACTTGCCATAGCAATTTAGAATATCGAAATTGGACGATAGCCAACCATTTTTGTCGAGAAATTATGAAAATTGCAATTGCATTTATATTAAGAAGTCGTCATACGGGGAGCGGTCGAAAAATGGTGCGATCCGAATCATTTTCAATAGCGTTCGTCAAAACATGAAATATTTTGAAAAAATTGCGATCTGTCGATTGAATCCAATAAAATAAAAACGGGAAAAAAGTGAATTCATTTCAGATCCTTCTGGGTATTGCATACATTCGCATAAACTTAATATGCCCTCGTACCACAACTGTGGTGTGTGGCACGTGTTGTAGGCATAACAATAAGCAATTTTTTAATTTTAATGTAATTTTGTTTACTTTTTTTCTCTTTTTAAAATTGCATTTACAGGCTGTTGAACATATGTATATGTAAGAGGAAGAAATTGAAATTTCGGAAGAATATCTTAAAGGGAAAAACAAATCATATATAAAATTAACGGAAAATTATTTATCAAAAAAAAATAAAAATAAATAAATAAATATATAAATAAACAAATAAATATATAAAATAAAATATAAATAAAAAACCGAAAAAAAGAAAACCAGAGAAAAATTACCCAACTTTTTTGAACGGACCTCGCAAGCAGTTAATACTTTTTAGATGTCTGCCCTAATGGCCAGCATTTTGAAATTATTGTTTTTATGTGCGTTGGCGCATAGCGCAAATGGCTTGGCTTTGTCACCCAATGTTGTGCCAAAAACCTATGAAACAACTACCGATCCTCCGGCTACCCTGCCGCGTACGGTTATGCCGTTAATTCATAATTATCCCGAATACTTAATAGTACGCGGCGAGTTTTCTTCTCGCGAGAATCAGGAATTCCACAAGGCCGCTTCAATGCTAATAAAATCGTATGAACAAAAGCCTAATACCGTTTCCATTCAGAGTGATGATGAACTTGAGCTGTGCAATTCACCCAAGCATAAGGCGACATTCTCCCTTTATGATTATGCGGTTTTATTGGGCATGTTAGTGATCTCATTGGGTATAGGAGTTTTTTATGGTTTTTGCAAAAAATCCGGCAGTTCATCGAATGAATTTTTACTTGGTTCCGAAATGAGCATATTTCCCGTCACATTAAGTTTGACAACAAGTTTCATAACGGCGATCGAATTGTTAGGCAATCCGGCCGAAATGTATTTCCAGGGTACACAATTCGTATTGATAGGTAAGCATGTAAAAGTGTTGCATACGCTGCACAATTATGCTTTAAGACTTTATTCACATACACATCTTTATATATATTTAGTTATTCCTATGATTTTGGTTATACCTATTGCGGTGAAGATTTTCTATCCGATTTATTTTAAAATGGAACTGACCAGCTGCTATGAATTTTTGGGTATACGCTTTGGCAAGGAAATACGTATTATGGGCGGCGTCTTATATGTCATTCAGGTATGCAGACATGTCGATTACAACGAAATCATTTTATTTAATTTCTTAAATTTATTATTTATGCGTTTAGATGTGTTTTTATACGGCTGTAGCTGTACTGGCACCTGCTATAGCTCTTTCTAAAGCGACCGGTTTGGATACTAAAATTGCTGTGATATTGATTTATTTAGTTTGTATTTTCTATTCGTCGCAAGGCGGTATGAAAGCGGTAGTAATAGCCGATACATTTCAGGTAATTATTGTAAATAAATTTAAATATTTTGAAAATAATAAAAATCATTTCATATATATGTATGTGTATGTGTATGTGTACGTGTGATTCATAATTTACAGGCGGCGGTTTTAGGTATATCTCTAGTATTGGTCATTGCCTTAGGTTGTTTTTACAGCGGCACACCAGAGGAAATTTTTACTACCGCAGCTGATGGGGAGCGCGTAGAATTTTTCAAGTACGTACTCTAATGGGCTTTAATTTTTGAATTCGTTTTAATGCAATTAAAAAAAAATTTTGTTCATTAAATAGTTTCAATATGGATCCTACAACGCGTCATAGCGTTTGGTCGGTAGTGATTGGCGGCTTTTTTTATTGGACCTCTTTGTTCTGCACCAATCAGGCATCCGTACAGAAATGCATGTCATTGAAATCTTTAAAATTAGCGAAAGTGGCCTTGGGTTTCGCGATTCTCGGTCTAGTGATCGTATTTTTATTAAATTTCTATACCGGATTAATGGTTTATAATCATTACGTTGAATGCGATCCTTTGCTCTCCGAACGCATAACAGCTAACGATCAATTACTACCCTATTACATAATAAATACATACGAGCATATATACAGTATCGCAGGAATATTTGTTGCGGGCATATTTGCCGCTAGCTTGGGGTAAGCTATGAGTGCACATACGTAGCTTATTAGCTTATCAGCTTATTAGCTTAACTGTCGTAAGAGTTAAAGAAAAGTTTTTTTGCGGTGATGGTCACTTCCGCTTAACTTATCAATTATTTTTATTTATTTTTTTATCTTCAATAGTACCGTGGCTTCGGCTTTAAATTCATTGTCGGCCGTTACCTGTGAAGATTTGTTAGTGAGTGGCTTGAATGTGAAAATTTCGCCGGATAAAGGTGCCTTCTATGCCAAGTGGATGTCTTTAGGTTATGGCGTCTTATCATTCGGTTTGGTATTCATTGTCGAGCATTTAGGCGGTGTACTGCAGGCCACTTTAACGCTAAACGGCTTGGTCGGCGGTGTTACGCTGGGTCTTTTCGTTTTGGGAATTGCTTTCAAACAAGCCAATACTAAAGGGGCCTTCTACGGTGGACTCATATCATTGATCATAGTTATCTTCATTGGTGTTATAGCACAAATTGCTAACGTCAATTCTAACGCTTTGTCATTATCGATCGAAAATTGCAATTGTCTTGTCAATAGTACTGCAACTCTAATGCCACGTCTCAGCGAGCAATTTGAAAATGAATCCTCAGGCTTCACGTAAGCTATTATCGATAAAATATGAATTTATATACTTCGTTATTTATTAAAAATTTCTTTTTTTTTTTTTTTTTTTTTTTTTGCTTTTCAGTTCTTGGTCTATTTTTCGTCTAAGCTATATGTGGTATTCCATGCTGGGCTGTTTACTTACGCTCGTATTGGGTCTCTTAATATCTTGCATTATTAATTTCACGCAGAAACGTCGTATTCTGAAGTTGGATTCGTCGAAAACAATCTTTAATTCAAACATACCGAATGATATTAACGGTAATGGGAAAATATCCGTCTCGACTATTACCGTACCAGTGCCATTAAAATCTCCCACCGTTACTACTAGTGAGACTAACTGTTGTCATATTAATCATGCCGTGCGCCTGGATGACGAATAACTGGCATTGTAGTCGAACTGTTTTCTTTTTTTTTTTCTTTTTTTTTTCCTCCAACGTACAAATTATTCTTCGTAGTGTAATTTTCGATTTTGTGATTTTCATAGATATACATAGATTCGTCAGTAGCACTTTTCGCTCACCTTCTTTTCTTTTTTTTTTTTTTTCTTTGATAGCTCATTAGTTTTTAAATTAATTTCGAATAATGTTTGTATTGCAATTCGGAAAACGAATTTAGTTTTTAATTTCTATGTTTTCAGTATTTATGTACACCTTGATATATATTTCTATTTATAAGGAATTTATTTTTATTTATTTGCGTTAACTAACACGACTGTAATAATATTTGCAATTATGAGAAAAAAAATCAAAAAAAACACAAAAAACACAAAAAAACAAATACAATTACATTTTCATAATTTTAAAGTATAAAAGTGCGAAAGTTAAATTCGCTCGGGATCGAATCTTTTATACCCATCACCGTTTACCTCCAAAATAAGACAAAGAAAAAAAAAAAAAACAAAATAACAATATTCTTATGCAATGGGCGCAACTGATTTCTTCTATTTTCAAAATAAAAGTTTTTTTATCGTATAAGCATGTGGGCGTTGTAGGCGTGTCCTTTGAAAAGTTTAAGTCAATTGTAAATTCTTTTGCAAATTTCTAGACAATATCGGGAGAATGCTTACCACAAATACGACAAAGTTGCGCAAGCGGACAGATGGACAGACGAACAGGCAGACATGTTTGCCTGCATTCCAGACTTGAAACTGGGCAAAAACTAGAATATTTTATGGGATTTTTGAAGGTTGTTTTTGCCTGTTATAAAGATGTTGAGAAAACAATTGAAAATTGATACAGTATACTATTGGCTGGGCGTGGTAAATTTTTTTCATTTTTACGTGCGATTGCTACAGCCTTGCCCATAGTATATGAGTTCAAATGTTTGTACATTTAGTGCAATGGTGTAGTTTATGTGTAATGAGCAAAAAACCAATTTTTCATTCGCTTTGAAAAACGGAGGCATTCTCAGTTTACATGGTGGCGGTGGGTGTGCCCTTCGACGGATTTGCCCTATTTTCAATACCGACCAGCGGACAAATTTGCAGTCGATAGGTTGATTTTTGTGGCCAAAAGAATATTTACAACATATATGGACACAGACGGACAGATGGTCAGACGGATGGACGGCTATGCTTACATCGATTCACAATTGGAGACCGAACCATTTTTTTTTTACTCTTTACCTTCTGGGCGTTGTAAACATTTTGACAAAATCAATATGCGTCTCGTCCTTTGGTGATGTGTATAAAAATGAACCTGAATTCTGCAGAGAATATTCTCAGTTCTAATATAAAAAGTTATCAGATGGGTTGCCGGAACGAAGATATTAGAATTGAGCAATGTCATTGTGTCGTTTCATACACCAGGTATATTGCTAGATATGGAAGAAGCCTTCGATAAAGTCTAGCGTGTACTAAAAATAATTGTCTCCCTGGTACTATGTACTAGTGCTGGGCATTTACTGCATTAATAATATCCAAGTTTGCCCCAGCCGGACATTTCTATGTTCAAATTGAAAATGATAAATCCAAGATATGTAAAATTGAACGTTGAGCGCCTCAGCTAAGCGCTTTATGTTCAATGTATGGCCATTCGATGAAGGAGTTCACTCGCTCACATGATGATGAATGGAAAAAGGTAGCTTAGGCTCATCCACCTATACATTCTTAGCGGGTTTAGAAATGCTTAAATGCGTCACATATCGCTTTCTAGATTCTCTACCGAGATCTAAAGGATATAAGGAAACGATAATACGTTAGAGATAAGAAAGTTTTCTTTGTAATAAACATATTTACCTGAATGTTTCCTCAAGCGTTTGTTTTTTGCTGAAATTTGTTGGACGTACGTAAGGCTTTTATGGCTTGCTCTCTCTTTTTTTGTTTTTTTTTTTTGATATTTATGATGAGTGAATCGTGTGTCAACAAATTGTTCCATGCTTTAATGGATTTCTTTTTCCCCAAACTAATATTTCTTTATACTTAGACTAAACGATTATCTGCCATTCCGATGCAAGTACATTTTAATCCATATATAGAATTTTCACAGGTACGTTATTACCAGTATATTTTCGCTATTTATTCATTTTTCGAGAAGAAACTTGTTCTTTATTTATATAGTCGATTAACGAATATATTCGTCCTCATAGTTAAAAAGGTCGGATTTTTTTATATCCTACATTTTTTGTGAGTGGGCAGTAACATGCATTAAACCGGTCCATCTGTTTACCTATATGCTTGATAACTGTTAAAGAACCTTTATATTCAATTGACTCGAAAAATTTATGGAATATTTTGATGAAATTTAATACATTGCCTAATGCCTTGCACTGAACAATCCTTTATAAATTTGCAATTTCGCTTTTCGGCTTTTTAAAGCTTTTTAAGAGTTTTGAGGGAATCGGCCATGCAATCTAAGCCCTTGAAAAAAAAAGTTATATATATGCATACGTATATGATATATAAATATATATAAATATATATATATATATAAGCGGTCGTAGATAGCAATTTGTAATATGAATTTATTGCACCGAGTTTGGACCAGCTTGGCTAAGGTCGATTTATTGGCCTCAATTCGAAATAAAGATTCCCGTGAAAGGTAGGGATTTACATGGGAACAAATTATAATTTTTGGTACACAACTGTGCAAAATTGTGTAGGGTATTTAATGGCCGTAGTCGACTTTGTTTTGTTTATGCTTCGTAATAAAGTGTATTTGCAAATTTTGTTTAGTTAGCCATTCAGAGAGGAGACGTCAACTGAGCGTACGCGACACAATGGGGATCATAGAAAAGATTGTAAGTAAAGAAAGAGAAAGGAAGATTTTAAAGTGGAAAAAATCTGAAATAGTCGGAATAATCGTCTATTGGTACTCAATGCCAAGCAGTGCATTTAAAGAATGACTAGGCGCGCGAGCATATTGTATGGTGAGCGGACGGCTTCAGGAGGAATAGGTAAGAATGCTAAAGAAACCGAATAGTTCTGTTAAGGGAGTTGATTGGTAGACAAATCATTTTTTTTTCCAACAATAAGCTCAACACAGCTCATATTAGACCTTTGCTCAAGGTTATCGAGAGTTTTGGCCAGACTTTTGTCATTCATTAGCGTCGGATGGCTTGTCCATGCATGGCTGAGAGCTGAACTGCATTAAATAAAAAAATTTAGAATAACAAGTGAACATCTTGAAAGGCCAATTCCGAACTAGCGCTCTTCAGCACTTGATTTAATTGAATTGGAAGTGCAATTGCGGCCGGTGAAGCGTTACAATGCTATTGTGATTGAATTGAATCGAAGCCGGAATCAGATAATTCATAATTGAATGTTAAGTGAATTTTCTGATTTAGCAATGGGAGATTTATAATTGGAACACTGATTGCAATTTCATTCAATATCAACAACATCTCAATTGGACTTGGAATTTAATGCCTATTGGGAATTTGAATAGATAACGGAATATTAAAGATTCGCATCGGCATCATGGGTAAGGGTAAGCGATTGACCCGTAAGCCAGTAACAAGGCAACGCAAGTTTCTTGCATTTCTCCAATGAACTTTTTAATGAAGTTTTTAATTGAATAAATCAATGCAAATGATTAATTAATGAAATTTTGTTCAGATATTCATTCCTACATGTGCTTTATTAAATATATAAACCATTTTGTTTTATTGTGATCGATTTATGCTTAACTGTGAATGGTCATTAGTTAAGATGCAAACCGTGCAAAGTGTTGCTTTTCGTTTCCCTTTCGATTATGAAGAACAAAAAAATGATTAAATTATAAGTGCATATATTTATTATCCGCATTTAAATTTATTTTCCACTCAATGTATTAATCAGGATTTTTGCATATATATGTGGTTTTTTTTTTTTTTTTTTTAAATTGGATTCTGGGAAAAATAAAAGAAATTTATTTTCGTCATAAATTTAAAATTAATATGACACATGTTTTTGTTATTGTAATATATAGAAGAATACTAATACTATATATAAAAACGGAAAATGATAAAATCAAATTCGACTTTTGCCGTAACTTTAGTACCCATCACTGTTGTCTCAAAAAAAAAAAAAAAAAAGAAAAGAATTTCAAACTGATTTCACATCACGTCACGCTACAGATTTTATATAAAAATTCATTTTTATAATAACACATGCGACAAATAGAGAGACAGACAGAGAGAGAGAGAGAGAGAGAGAGAGAGAGAGAGGAGGGGGGGCATCTTGAAAAATTCCAAAAATTTTAATTGATTTTGTCGTGGATTAGCGATTGCGTAAAGCTTTAATTTATGCCCTTTGATATTTCGCAATCGCACTGACCGTTGATGACCGACCGATATAAAACATCGTAAGATCTTAAGACATATTTTGTTAAACGCTTTAAAGATTTCTACAGATGGACAGACTTCAACTCATCACTGAGTTGATTTATTTGAAAATATCTGTAGCAAGTCATCGTTTTCATATATATTTTCATATTTTTGAAATTTTGCCGAAAGTATTGTAAGAGCAGTTTCAAGTGTAGGGTATAAAAATCAATGAATCGTTAAATAGATTATAAATTAAGTAAATCAAATATATATGTTATGTACAATTGTGTAACTTTTGTTATTTCTCTTTCTTTCTGTTCTGTTCTGTTCTGCATTTTCATATCATTTCGTTTATCTTCTACGATTTAAGGCGGTCACGTTACACTGATCTCTTCATCAGTATCTGAATTGGATTCGTCATAATCGTCGTAATACATTTTCATAAAATCCGAATTCTGGAAATGATAATTTTGACCCGATTGAGGAAACTGATGACAGGAAGGTGACGATGACGCAGTGGTGGATGCTGGTGGCGGTGGTGGTGGTGGTGGTGGTGGTTGTGGTTGGGCCTGCGGTCCATTCGATAATGATTGAATCGAATTGTGCAAGTGTTGCTGTTGCAGCTGATGTTGATGATTGAGCGCCTCCTGCATTGCATTGCTAATGAATAGATTACTACCGGAGAGAGATGTAGCGGAATGCAAAGTGATATTATCGCCGGCACTAATGCTTAACATATTGAGACGTCTTTGCTTTGCCTCGTTAAGTGTCGATTCTAGTTTGAATTTTAAATCGGCCGCCATTAAATGCTTATGCATTTCAGCATTGATTTTGGCTTGAAATTCGGCATTGGTCATGGGCATAACAATGTTAACGTTGCCGCCACCGTTAGCCGAGGCAGCTGTTACGGCTGCCGCACTGCAACTGGGCGGTGATGATGCTATTGATGATTGATCGTTATTGCTATTGTTAATGTTATTAATAGTTGTTGACATTGCATTGGGCAACTTGGCCATGGTTAGCAGAGGCGGTGGTGGTGATGATATTTGCATATTTTGAGCACTATAAGGCGGTAGACCAATGCTAGTTACCGGTTGCGGTATATGATGCATAATAGGTGGCGAGCTGGGCGTTTTCGGTGACGACAACGGTTTTCCACTAATTATGTTCGATGATTGATTCTCTACTGATTGCTGTTGATGCTGCTGCTGACCGTTGGTAATCTCTTCTTTAGCAGTCACAGAATTGCTAGGGGATACACTTTGGCGATTAGGTGAAACGGAACCGGGCGATAAAGGAGTAACGGGCCGATCACATTTGGCATCAGACAAATCCGGATTAGGATTATTTTTATTAGGCAAAGTTTGATCTCTGGAACCACCACTGGCCAAGAGCTCACGCTCTTTCGAGTTACGCCATTTCATGCGACGATTTTGAAACCAAATTTTTACCTGTAATTATAAAAACCGAGAATAAAATTAATTAAATTTTTGAGGGAATTAATTTTTTTCTATGTTTTTTTTTTTTTTTTTTTAAATTTTTATTTAATTTAAATTTCATTTAATTGTAAAACTTTGTTTTAAATGGTTGTCAATGTGTTAGCAACAGAACGTCCTAATAATCCTTAATAAATGTAAATTTTTCAACAACAACAACACCAGCAACAAAAACAGCAAGAATATCAGCAACAACAACATTAGAAAATCATTTTACACTTTGTAAAAGCAAAAAAGGATAATTTGCAACAAATTGATTACAACACAGATACAAATCGTTACTTGATATAAACGCACTTACATATAGATAGATATACATAAGCAATGACACCCCAACAAGATGCTAGACGTTGTTTACCCTCATCTAAGTTTAAAGAGACCTTAGAGAGATGGACGTTTACCAGCTTGCATGTATTAAGGTTTGTTTGTATATATGTATAAATGTATATGCATATACATATATATACATATATATATATATATATATATTATTTTATTGTGTGTAGTTAAAGTTTAAACCGTGCATATGACAGCTACGAGAAAAGGCGGTAACTTTAGTTGAAACTGTTTTTGAATTATTATACAGAGCAGTAGCATGCTGTATAAATATATGCGTCTCTACGTGCAAGTGTGAGGAGGTCATTCAATATTCTCTTCTCTCCATATAGGTATCCTTAGGTTGGTTGATTCAAGCACAAAGATAATAACTACAATTTAAGTTTATGTATTTATGTAAGCAATAAGTTTGAGACAGTTTGTCAAAGTTTTCTGTTTCCATACACCCTTCGTTTCAGGCTGTTGATACCGTTGAAAAACGATGTAGTGTGATTTGATGCGATGCGATGCGATGCGATGCGATGCGGTATGGTGCGGCACGGTGTCGTGCGTTTTGATGTTGTTGACAGTATCGTGATAGCTAGTATGGATACATATATATATATATATATATATGTATGCATCTGCCTATATATATTTACATGCACGTAAATATATATATGTATATATATATGTATATATATATATATATATATATATATATATGTTTATGGGTATGTAAGCAATTCTTTCGCATGATATTATTAGTATTGCCTATCGTTTATTGCTTTAATGGGTCTGGAAATGTTGTTCGCTATCTTTTTATTCCTTAACTGTTGTAAGCCACACAGCAGGACTTTTAACACTTGAGTTTATTTTCCGGTTAAATGAAAATATCACTGGATTAATTGTTATCGCAGAATTTTTTTTTTTTTTTTTTTTTTTTTTTTTGCCCCTTTTTTTTGGTTTTTGTTCATTGAATTTCTGTAAAATTTCTCATTTTCCATCTAAACCACAAGAGATCCCTTTCCCCCGATTTATATAAGACAATGTTCTCATTTCCAGTGTTCTTACTTAACTGACTTTCGGCCTTTGCGTTGGCAAAAGGACTAAAGTCTGTAAAATTGAAATAATAAGCCAAGGCGGCGATAAGATTAATGATTATTATGGTCTTGATTACGGCTTAGTATGTACGTATATATATATACATATATATATGTGTGTGTATGTGTTTATGCGTATGTGTATATGTTTATAATAATAATAATAATAATTCTATGTGTGAGTGCTTGTGAATAGATTTTCATTTTATTGCTACCATACAACTGTTGGTAAAAGTAAGTCTGCTGTTGATGTCTGTTTTTGATGGAAATTAATTATAGACCGTATATACTCGTATATATATATATATATATATTCTCGGTAATTTTATTATGGCATTATGTAAGTATGCGCATGTTTTCAATGATGCTTTTCTTATACTGCATATGAATTGTAATTTAAATCGGTATTTATTTAATCAGATTTCCTACTATTTGTTGAACAAATGATTAATGTTTGATCAAACGAAGCGATAGAGAATCTCATCATTTCATCAGTAAGTTTATATGCCATTCAAATCGAATCTTTTAATCTTCACTAACATAGAAATGTTTCAGAAAAATTCATATTCCATTTCCAGTTCGAAAAGCAGTAAGAAGAACATTTTTATGCACTTAGCTCAACTTCTAACGGCAGAACGTCACAATGCTTCAAATTGAAATAGTCGCCGGACTATCTTCCCTTAGGCTTTCTATTCCATAAGAAAAAGTTGCCATATTTTTCTTAAAGAAAATCCCTTTAACAAGGCAATGATAGTTTTTTAATACCTATCTACGAAGCATGAGCGGTAGGTGTATTTCGTCAAAACCTTGGCAACGCCTAGAAAGAGACATCAGAGATTCCACAAAATTTATATATTCTTGATTAGCATTAATTTTTGAATCGATATCAGCATTTCCGTCTGTCTGTCCGTTTCTAATGGCCACAAAAATGAAGCTATAGACTTCAAATTTGGCAAAAACATTGAAAGTTCTCGCACAAAATTTGGTTTAAAAAATGGACCACAATGGAGGACAATCAGCTACCACAACCGATTCTTTACGTTTGCAATTAAAGTAAAACCATGAGTTGACTTCAAATGTTTTGCGATGACTGTTAGAACAGAAGGCGAGCAGAGGGAAAAACTTTAATTTCTTAAATAATACGCTTGCTTGCTTCAAATCTCTCGCTCTCGATTTCATTTGATTAAAAGAAGACTAAAGAATAAACTTCAAACTGAGAGAATGAGTCAATTTACCAGGAAAAAATGCGAGATATGGAAAATTTTTCTTTATTTTATGATCTAAGAAATGTCTAATAATATGATCAATCACTTAGGGGTGATTTCCTTTTTGTGCAGCAAGAAAGGTGAAAGAGAAACGGAGAAGGTGGCCGCAGCCTACTGGCTGATCTGCTCGATCAGTATGTGTTATAAGTTTACCTGCTGAGCACTTACTATTGCTGCGACTAAGGTGAAGTCTCTGCCGCTCATGTAATTCATTGAAAATCGAAAAACAGAGAAAAATCTTGTCACTAAGAGTTCTATTCAGCTCCGTGCATACAAGTCACGTTATAAGGCATTAGCAGTTTTCTTCGCTTGTCATATTGTTCCGAAAATCGCACATTTGATGCTCTTCCGGCCTCATGCAGCCAACGATTCGCGAAAATATTAACAATATTTAGCAAAAATTTAACCGAGAAACGAATTAACATAAAGATGTCGCCATGAATTAGTTAATGATAACTTGCAGCATTTTTGCAGAAGGCAAGTTAGAGTCGAGTCAACAGAGTTGAATAGCAATATTTGAGCAGTGAATAATTTGTAAATCGATTTCCTAAGAATTGTAAAAAAAAACTATATCATCCTTGGAAATTTAATTTCAAAAGGCATTGAATAAAAACCTACAACGATCATCGAACAGGACATTTTCTGTTACGATATTGTTAGCCAAGGCATTACTTGCTTGCTCTATCAAAGGTCAATTATGATTATCCTCACATCTCATGGATGGCGTTTACTGAATTTGTCATACTGTTCCCAACATCGTTGATATTTGCCTTAAAATCTATATAAAATATAAGTAGACTTGATTAGAAGGTTCGTCTAACCGTTGCTGTCAATGTTTCAAAACTCTCACCAATGGTTATTGAAGATCTATTCTACTTAAACATCCAAGACGAAAATTTCCGATGAAAGCCTTTCGAAAGGTAGTAAAGAACCAAGCGCTGACTTGTCTATTGGTTCGCTTTGAATTCGCAAGATATTTTACATAGCCTGAATATTGACTAAGTAAGATAATGAATATGAAGTAATCGCCCCAAGATGAATGCAATTTTATTTGATGTTGTGCGTTACGGCAGTAAAAACTGGAAGTTTTAAAAACGAAAACCTCTTATCCTCTTATCTCCAATATACGTCTTCGTCAGGTAAAACTTCATTTTTAGTAAATTTGCCTTCAAATCCTGTTAAATTATCAATTGTGTGAAGAGGTTCAATTTCGTGCTTTGATAAAAATTATATATTATATTATTTGATATATATTTGTCAGAAAGTTTAATAATCGAAATATTTATTAGTATTTTTTATGGTCTTTCGCCTTTTGTCGGGTAGTTTGCAGATGCTCTCTCCGATAGAAACTTCATGGTACTTCGCGCATCTTCATCCTTCCATAGCCGGCAATCTGCTAATCAGTCAGTGCTGCTTAGAAGGAATAGGTCTCGGGAATATCAGTCCAAGTTGAAGATCACATTGTGGGTTGCCTTTGACGGAAACGAATTTGTCTGTAGATTAGAATTTTTGAGCAAACTCTCGTCACTCCCAGCTAGGGTTTTATTTTTCCTGGAAAAAACTCCTTGCCTTAAATGACATCCACTTCTTCACATTTTGATGTATAGCGAACGGCAGCTTGTAAACAATTGAAACTTATTTCGTGCAAGCTACCAATGTCCAAGTTACCGAGACCGAAAATTTTGGGAAAATTGATCGCGTCAGATATGGTTTATGAAACAAGCGGGAAGAACTTGTGAAATTTGACATAAATTCTCTTACGGATATTGTAAAAGGTGTTACAAACACACTTTCGGTTCAATAAAGTCACCAAATGGTTGTGAGGAAAACATTTTTAATTGAAAGAGAAATAATTTATTTAAAATATCTGAACATATTTCAGCATCAAGAACAGCCTTTCATACAAAGCTGAATCGTTGTATAGATAAGTTAAAAGAAGTAAACCAAGGCCTCCCAATATCCTGCTCCACGTTATCTCAAACAATTTCTCATTTATTTTCTTTGTTAAATACGAAATCTTATGCAAGCATACTTTTCAGGGAAGACTTGATATGAGAGTGAACTGCCGATATTCATTATTTGATTTCATTATTCTGTTTGTCGAAATAACGGTTTATTTTCCAAAAGAACTTCGCTTTGAGAAAGTTGTCTGAAAAATAGATCAGTACCAGTACCAGTACCAGTAGAATTTTAAGCAAATTTTATGATACGACGCTTATATGCCGTAGGAATGTTTATGAGAAATGGTTTGAAATCCCACCCCTTGGCCATT